GAAAACGTGTCACCTGAAAAAGCCACTGTTGAAGAAGAAACTCTATTCAGTTTTGAGAAGAGAAACGGTGAAGCTCTTGATGAAGTTACTACCACTGATGTGACGGTTCCTGACGATAGGACATTTCCTGATGAAGCAGGTGAACCCCATGTGAAGCAGAAGCCAACGAGATGGAGACCAGTACGGAAGAAGATACATCCCGTAAAATTAAGAGACTTTGTAGAAATGTAATTTTGTGTTTGTAATTCTGTAAATTTAATTAAGTTATTGTTAATTGTTATTGGTTTAATGTAAGTGGCTATTGTTCGGGACGAACAATACTGTTACGACATCGAGGTCACGTGACTAGTATCACGCCACGTCGTTCTCGAACATTCACGTACTTTCCTTAAATCTCGTGATCCTTCTAGATATAGTGTAGTCTTGTATATATAAGACCGGCCACGAAGCGACGGGGAGGTTGAGTAATTGACTGTATGCTGACAGAGAGAATATTGTTGGGTACGTGAGACGTTCGTTGAGAATTATAGTGTTTGTTATAGAGCGACTGTTGAAATTAAGTGTATCGTAAAGTCGTATTCGGAAAGAATAAACCAGTTTTATTAAAGAAAGGACTTGTGTCGCTAAAGTTTCGTCGGAACGAATTTACGGAAAATTAACTAACAAACGGAGACGTAACAATACTAAGGAAGGGGCAGTGTTATGACAACAGAAGTCACCTGACGCTGGTAACAAGTAATGAGTATCTAAAACCTTTGTGAAGGCTCGAGTGTTTGCCAAACACGCCCTCTATTTTGTATATATAAGACCGGCGAGAAGTGACGGTAGATAGATAATTGCGGACAGACAGAGACGGACAATTGAGTCAAGCGCGGAAGTAAAGTGAGTGAATCGTTGTGAATTATAGCGTGTGTTGAAGTTAAAGTGACTGTGGAAATTCCTAATTCTCACAAACTTGTATAAGTTCTTCGAGTGATCTGTTTAACAAGAGTTACGACTCGTAATTTTCTGGAAAGCGTTTATTGCCTTTCTCCATTTTATAATAAAGAAGTAACTTGACTCTGATAACGAGCACCGTCTTTCCACAGTGTGGTGTTGAGAAAAGATAAATTGATGGGCACGACACCTGGAGGGTATTATCATTATTAACTTCTGGTGAAAGCCAGCTACCCAAACAGATATAAACTAAAACAATAACCTAGATATCGATGTAGCAAATTTAAAATAAACATCTAGCTAGAAACAGTGGAATGATACACCATTTAGGTACCTCAAGCCCATGGTAGTAACGGACAGGACCACAGATAGAAAGGATTAGCATGACCTCCCCTCTCCCTCTCAACCAATTTACTCCCTGCCTTCCCCCGTCGTCCTCGCCCTCCCTTTATACTGTCCTTTCAATGGGTTTGGTAATGAGAAAATTAAGTCAATAATACAAAAAAAAAGGCCTAGCGAGTTGTGGCAAAATGCAGAGAAAGCAATATTCCAGTAACTTTGTAATGCGAGCCACCACATCTGTTACTGCGTAATGTAATCCTCCACATTTGTTGCTGTATAAACAGACAGCTAATCAACAAAATATAGTCTCAAGTTAAAAGGAAATTCACCCTGTACCCTTTGAGTAGCTCGTTTTTACTTCAACAAGGAAATTGGCAATTCCCGAATGACACGTCATCAACTGCCACAATTTAAGAACTTCTCTGACACTGATGTCAACAACTTTTCACTTATCTAAAAATAAACGAAGCCATGTTTAAAGATCTTCATCGTCAGACCGATGTTTACCGAGTTCAGAGGGGTGAGGGTGATTGTTTAGACATTTGTGCGCAGAGCTACACGGAAGGCTATCTGCGCATAGCGATCCCAAGATCTAAAAGATTACAGGGAAGGCAACTCTAGCCAACAGCACCCTCCGCTAACTATTGAGCTACTTTTCTCTGACCGACTAGTGGAATGTAATCACAACCACGACTCTAAAAGTACGAACCATTAATCCTTGAATTCACACTTCGGGCACACTAACAATTTAGACACTCCCGACCAAGGAGGGTGGGCGATGAAGTACCCTGTTCTGATGATAAAAAAAAATAACACAAAAGTTATCGTGTACGCCTGAAAAGTTTGCATCAAATATCCGCGAAAAAGCTACAAAAAAGGCCATCTAAGCATAGCCGTCCAAAATTTTACACTGAAAGACAAGAGGGAAGGCAACTAGCTCTCAGACTACTGTAATCAAATAGTGGGATTTGACCGCCACTCTTATAACGCACCCACGATCCCAACGTACAGAGCACAATTTTGCTGCAATGAAACGTAAAGCGTGGACTCTCGGATTCACAGTACCGTAAACTAACTACTAGGCCACGCCCAGCTCTTTGTTTTATATCATTAAAATACTTGGTTTGAGAAGCCGTTGTTTTCAATGGTCAAATCAACATTATTCTAAAGTGTTTGTAGCAAAGACACGAGGTTGGAATCACGAAATAACCAGGGGACATCTTCCTTACTTCATCACGATCAATTTTATAAATAAAATTACCAACTAATATATTGGAGGTCTAGCTTCTAAGCTCACATATACAATAACAACGACATATTAGATATTTTACGTCAATGGAGACACAAATATCAATGTTTTAGCTGGAATTCAAATATTAAGTAGGGTAATTATCTATTTTTTGTATGTTTTGTTACGTCTCTGTTCGTTTGTTAATTTTCCGTATAATTTATTTCCGATGAAACTTCAGCGACACAAGTCCTTTCTTAAATAAAACTAGTTTATTCCCTCTCAATACAACTTTGCAATACACTTTTGCATGTTCTTGTTAAACAGATCACTCGAAGAACTTATACAAGTTTGTG